AATTTTTAACAAAGCTGTTCGTCTCTCCAAGGGGCTACTGTAGTCCCCAAGTTCCTACTTGTTCCAGCCATATTTTCTCCATGTTGGAATATATGAGGGTTTAGTACTGGCATATACAGTACCTTATATGCCAGTGTATTGTTACATTCTATAACAAATACACTGTGATTTCTGTGTGTAATGAAGTAAGGGCGAAGAGGTAGAATGGCTTATTGACATAGCTCAAGTGCATGGGGAAATTGTGAAAAATCCTGGTTTGTGTCTCGGAGAGGCTGCAGGATCCAAGTAAGTTCAGCAGAACTTCTGGTTGCAATTCTTTTAACCATGTCATAGCTCAGTCGATTAAGGCAGCGTCTGGGATGCTCTCGGACGTAGGTTCGAATCCTCGTCACGGCCCTTGTGAATTTGTTCACTCTAAAACAAATGTTCCAGCGATGTGTAAATATTTCATTCAAAATGATCTGCTACCAGAAATCTTAGCCAAATATCCACAGTTTGCTAATGGTAGATAGTAACTAAGTGATTGTAACCTGTCCACTGCTGCCACTGGATGGGAGGGGGTGGTGTGCAGGGCATACATATCAATTGTGACCCTAACTCTCCACCTGTCAGTTGCTTGATTTAGAAACTGTACTTGTGGTCAGTCTATCGATGATGTGACGATGTGCATTGAATTTTGTAACTAGCTCATCAAGATTGTAACTTGCTTAGCTGGAACAAATGTTCCAGCGATGTGTAAATATTTCATTCAAAACGATCTGCTAGGTCCTGCTTGTGGGTTTCAGTCCCTGAGCCCATTAGGTGTCTCTGTAACCCTTTCCACTACTGCCCACAAGATGGGTATAGCGTGCATAATAAATGAACTAAACTAAGTACAGTTACTGGCAGCTTCTAGAGTAAGATACGTGATTGGGTTGGAGCTCCCATTAGCCTAGGCTGCCATCTGTTGGCAGTCATGCACCTTTTTATAATTGATTCTTCCAAGCAGTAGTTTGTTCTGTCTCATCTAACCAAGTCTCATTGGTTCCCTAGTTTTGGGTACATTTCTGATCTCCAGGTTCTTGCCTCATAGAGAGAGAGAGCCCAGATTCTGGTTATAACATTTGGAAGATAGGGTGAGTTTCAGATGCCTAGCAAGATCCTTAAGCTTAACAATATCAATGTGTAAGCACCTGGGAGCTACTGAGGGCCTACCATAAAAAGGCATTTCCATACATTCATTGCTTGATTTTTTTCAGCTACAGTACTGTACCTGAATCCTTGGCAAGTTAAACCATGATCTGCATGGTGGAAGGTTTTTGGTATTAGATTTTCCTTTCTACTTTCATAGTTTGATTTTTCAACCCTGATGGTGTCTACATGTACATGGAGGGATTATTAAGTGTTTTATTCCCAGGATTTTTTTTCAGATTCAGGTGGAGGGGATTTCCTTGGAGATTCACATTTTGGATTCAGGTTTCTGTTCTGGTGTTGCCACAGCTGAGACTATGCCTAAATTGTTTATATTTCTCCTCCATGATGCATTTACAGACTTCTTTGTCACTCATCTATATTTTATGATAATATATATAATTATTTTTATTTAAGCAAAAGTACATATATACGTAGGTTACAAGAAGATTTTATGATTCATGGGTAGGGGAATTACAATGCTTAAAGCCACTAATACACTGAGCGTTTCAGGCATAATATGGAAAAACTAAAAGACAAAAATATACGAGATAAAAAAATTATGAACCGAAGTTGAGAAATGGAAATAAAATGGCAATTATTACATGAAGATTGTAACAGCAAAAATTGCAACAGAAGATATTAATTTTTCAGCATAAACAGAAGGAATATAATTTTGTACTAAATTTGTATATGGTAGATAACAGCAGTAGTACAGGTTATGTAATTAATTTTCAATAACAACAAAACATAGATTGACATTTAGGAAGTAAGGTAGGTTACATAGAATTTATCAGGTAATTCTTAGTTTCTCTTTAAAACTGGTTGAGAGAAGGACAGTCTTTGACATGATTAGGGAGGTCATTCCACATTTTAGAACCCAGGGGCGGCAAGTAGTTCTGAGTTAGTTTCAAGATGCTCCTTAGACTGAAGTCTGTCTAGTTTTCAGTAATACTGTTTCTCAAGGATGAAGTACACAAGTGCTACTGCTTAGTGGCAGTGGCAGGTAGTACAGATGGCTAGTAACGGTAATGTGACGTATGTACAGTTACCTACCCACCAAAGTCGTAAATACCAAAACATTACTGCAGTTTAAAATCCAGCTGGATCAAATCGTGAGGACAAATGGGGGATGGGGGCCTTTGACAAGCCACCAACTTCTTGTCCTCATTAAGGCCACTAGTGAAATGGTAGCCCCAAGCTAAATTCAAGTGGCAATCAGTACAAGTGGCTAGTGGTGGTAATCAGCACATGTGGCTAGTGGTGGTAGTTAGCACATGTGGCTAGTGGTGGTAGTCAGCACATGTGGCTAGTGGTGGTAATCAGCACATGTGGCTAGTGGTGGTAGTCAGCACATGTGGCTAGTGGTGGTAATCAGCACATGTGGCTAGTGGTGGTAATCAGCACATGTGGCTAGTGGTGGTAATCAGCACATGTGGCTAGTGGTGGTAGTCAGCACATGTGGCTAGTGGTGGTAGTCAGCACATGTGGCTAGTGGTGGTAGTCAGCACATGTGGCTAGTGGTGGTAGTCAGCACATGTGGCTAGTGGTGTTAGTCAACACATTTGGCTAGTGGTGGTAATCAGCACATGTGGCTAGTGGTGATAGTCAGCAGACGTGGCTAGTGGTGGTAGTCAGCACATGTGGCTAGTGGTGGTAGTCAGCACATGTGGCTAGTGGTGGTAATCAGCACATGTGGCTAGTGGTGATAGTCAGCACATGTGGCTAGTGGTGGTAGTCAGCACATGTGGCTAGTAGTGGTCGTCAGGACATGTGGCTAGTGGTGGTAATCAGCACATGTGGCTAGTGGTGGTAGTCAGCACATGTGGCTAGTGGTGGTCGTCAGCACATGTGGCTAGTGGTGGTCGTCAGCACAGGAGATCTGGCGGGCCAACTGGTAGTTTACAAGGCCCCTCCTTTGATGGTCACATTTGATGCCAAGGAAATGTTTGAAATGGCTTTGGAGCTTTGGAAAACACCTCTGTCATTCTGGGATAGACTGACCATTCCACATTTTAGAACCCAGGGGCGGCAAGTAGTTCTGAGTTAGTTTCAAGATGCTCCTTAGACTGAAGTCTGTCTAGTTTTCAGTAATACTGTTTCTCAAGGATGAAGTACACAAGTGCTACTGCTTAGTGGCAGTGGCAGGTAGTACAGATGGCTAGTAACGGTAATGTGACGTATGTACAGTTACCTACCCACCAAAGTCGTAAATACCAAAACATTACTGTAGTTTAAAATCCAGCTGGATCAAATCGTGAGGACAAATGGGGGATGGGGGCCTTTGACAAGCCACCAACTTCTTGTCCTCATTAAGGCCACTAGTGAAATGGTAGCCCCAAGCTAAATTCAAGTGGCAATCAGTACAAGTGGCTAGTGGTGGTAATCAGCACATGTGGCTAGTGGTGGTAGTTAGCACATGTGGCTAGTGGTGGTAGTCAGCACATGTGGCTAGTGGTGGTAATCAGCACATGTGGCTAGTGGTGGTAGTCAGCACATGTGGCTAGTGGTGGTAATCAGCACATGTGGCTAGTGGTGGTAATCAGCACATGTGGCTAGTGGTGGTAGTCAGCACATGTGGCTAGTGGTGGTAGTCAGCACATGTGGCTAGTGGTGGTAGTCAGCACATGTGGCTAGTGGTGGTAGTCAGCACATGTGGCTAGTGGTGGTAGTCAACACATTTGGCTAGTGGTGGTAATCAGCACATGTGGCTAGTGGTGATAGTCAGCAGACGTGGCTAGTGGTGGTAGTCAGCACATGTGGCTAGTGGTGGTAGTCAGCACATGTGGCTAGTGGTGGTAATCAGCACATGTGGCTAGTGGTGATAGTCAGCACATGTGGCTAGTGGTGGTAGTCAGCACATGTGGCTAGTGGTGGTCGTCAGGACATGTGGCTAGTGGTGGTAATCAGCACATGTGGCTAGTGGTGGTAGTCAGCACATGTGGCTAGTGGTGGTCGTCAGCACATGTGGCTAGTGGTGATAGTCAGCACATGTGGCTAGTGGTGGTAGTCAGCACATGTGGCTAGTGGTGGTCGTCAGTACATGTGGCTAGTGGTGGTAATCAGCACATGTGGCTAGTGGTGGTAGTCAGCACATGTGGCTAGTGGTGGTCGTCAGCACATGTGGCTAGTGGTGGTCGTCAGCACAGGAGATCTGGCGGGCCAACTGGTAGTTTACAAGGCCCCTCCTTTGATGGTCACATTTGATGCCAAGGAAATGTTTGAAATGGCTTTGGAGCTTTGGAAAACACCTCTGTCATTCTGGGATAGACTGACCATACTTCAGTGACTTTCTGGCACCCGTTATGACCCTGCAAAGTTTGCATGAAACATTTCGTGTAGTGGTGCCAAAATGTTGTCCTGCCTGACTATTCGCGATCCTGCCATCAGACACAGCAGATCAAGCCTTAGGGAGGAGCTAAACCATTCTGCTCAGGAAGGTGCTTTTCATATTCACTCAAAGCTTTATTTTTTACTAAAGTATTTTCATTATTAAAATTAATTTTTTATTTAACATGTTTAAAATTTGTGCATCACACCATTTAATAGTACAAATTTTATGTTTAAAGTACAGATATTATATATTACAGTATTAAATTTGGGGAAAACCAGTAAAAAATCTTAAGTGTAATGTAAATGAAATTTAAATCAATGTTTATCACCTCCATTAGAAAATATTTCACCATAGCACAGTGCCACTTTCACAGCTTCCATGTAGTATTTTCACCCAAATATATTTAAATAGTCATCACATTTTGATCATCAATATGACATTTAACCTTGTCAGATAAGTGTGCAAAAAGCATGGCGAGATATTGCTTATTTTACAGCACTCGGTCCTGGAGCTGGGTGGTGTTGGGTCCTCACACACCACCTCCACCCTTGGGTCTTCCAGTGATGATGTCTTTAAGGAAGAAGATGAAGATGAGGAGGAGGAGGAGGAGGATGAAGAAGAAGAGCAGCGGCAACAAGAAGAGGCTAAGGCCAGGCTCATTGTATAGCGTGATAGAAGAGGATTACAAACCAGAGGGGACACTAACTGAAGGCAGGCAAGAGGGCAAATGCAGTGATATCAAAAATACTGTCCTAATGTGAAAGTAATAAATATTAAGCATGCAAAAGATAAACTGTTGTTGTATGCATGTATGGGACAGTTACTATTATGTACAAATTACTTCAAAATTGCTCTTAACACATAAAGGCATGTGAATTTAACAATTTAAATAAAAGCAATGCTAAACTAATATACATAAAAAATTATCTTATCACATCTTTCAGATATTTAATAATTTTGTTATAAAAAAATACATGAGTCTCATTCATAAAAAGTATGTCACAATAGCATTATTGGATGGCAGTACAGTACTGTATTTGCATTTAGGTCCTGGGCATTTCTTGTATGAAGTATGAAGCAATAAAATTTATTAAACTGTTTGAATTATTGTTAAATATATCTGTTTATATTCAGTTTTTATTTTCATGATAATAGAGAGAGTTTATTTAAAACTATTATACTGGAAACTATATAGATATGAGGATTTTGACAATTATATCCTATTACTAAAGGATACCTGGGAAATACTAATCATTTTCTCACGATGGCATTTAGGTCTGTAACATTTTCAGCAAAAATATGAAGTGTTGGAATTTATATAAGAGCATATTTACAGTATGCAGAAATATGTGAAATGTCTACAGTAAACTATGAGAGTTACTAGTGTGTAAGTGCCAGAAATGAAGTACCAAACAGTATAAGTGGTGGTTAATTATGGATTAGCACTACATTTTTCAAGTTTTACCCTTTAATTAAGAGTTGAAATAAAATAAAATAATATCTTGAAGTTTTAGGTAGAATTTAAAACTAAACTAATTTGGTATCAGTTATGCACAGAACTTGGTGACAATAACATATTAACAAAAGTAAAATTGTAATTCACCAATTGTCATTTAATATAGAATAGATAGTATAGATGTGCCAAATTTTGTGTGATATTGTAGATCTTCCTAATTTTATCCAGGTAAATGAGGAAAATAATTGCTCTTCCATTCTCAAAATTGTGAAGCCTTTTAGAGGAATGATAGACATGCATCTTTTAGAATATACACTACTGTAAATTGTGTTGAATTAGATTGAGAGATAATACTGTAGACAAGTAAAAGATTTAGAATAAATAGTCATGTGAAAGGCACTTACATAAGGCTTCAATTTTTTTTTATTGTTTTGGGCTACTTAGAATGCAAGGCATTACCTAAGATCAAGGCTGATAAAAATATACCTTAAACATCTTACAAATAATGCAACGATTTAGGGACGAATTGTACGTACCTGCAAAATATTATTGTAATATAGAAAGTGTACAGGCAAGATAGTTAAAATTTCCAACTTTTAAAAAATCATGTTTCTTCTATTTAGACAAAATATATTTAATACAACTACTGTTTTAACTCTTAATATAAACTATCTTGTCGGAACAGCTTTCAGGATATTGAGTTTGAATTTTTTTATATAAGAACCTAATGACTACAATCCAGAGGTTTTTACAATGGAGTAAGAGTTTCTCGGAGGTACGAAAAGTCAGTACATATCGAGATAACAATACTTTTCTCAATATAGTATTTTAAATAAAAGCAATATCAATTTGCAATTGCTATGTGCAATAGAAATGCATAAATAGTATTGAATTTGCATAGTAACTAATATAATTATAATAAATAGGATTTTGTTCCTGACATCAAAATTTTCTCCAAAAATATTTTTTTTTTTTTTGGAGACTGACCAAATATAAAATGTTATAGTTTTTATTGGATCTTGTAAGATTTACAACAGTTCAAGGCTCACAAAGCTCCAAATTCCATCATGTTCGATGGTATCTGAAGGAGGTGGGGCATGGAAGTATGAACAATCAGGCTCTCTACAGTAAAACATTGAGGGGTTAGCACATATGTGATAACCCGCAAAATGTGAATGAATATGTCTGACATACCCCAAATCCTTCATCTAATAATTCTTATTATCTCACGGGTGACCAACTAGATGTTCACTGCAATAAATCTTGACACTTGAGTGTGGGTCTCAAAGCTTTTGTCTTAGATTTATGAAGATTGTTGTTTGCGTTCTGAAGTAGAACTGGGGGTCATATGAAACAAAAAACAAGCACCGCATCAACTAATCACACTACTTGGTGACCCTATAGTTAATCAAATATTAACAAATGCTAGTTGTTCCTAACTTTCCAATTTCCTTTAGCAGCCAACCATAGTACCTGTAGACAATGTAGCAATCATATTACATAAATAGACTGCCTCAAATACATAATCACTTTTTTATTAATCTTTGTAGAACCTATGAATTGAATGTGTTAAGGATGTAGAGCACTCAAGCACCAATTTACCACCAAGGGCTATTTCAGAATTTGTGCTACAGTCTTCTATGAGTATGCTAACAAAAGGACCAGTCAGAAAGTTCCAATACAGACCAAACAATGCCAACAGAGAATAGCTTAAAGCTTTGACCAAACTTCTAGAGCCACACATTTCAATACCATATACTGTATTTAAGTTTTGGTATGAATGATTATTGTATATGTTGATAGAAGTCTCAGTTATTTATAACAGTTTATTATGTGTGGTGAGGAATATATTTCACGATTGTTATGTTGGAGGAAATAAATCAAAACCATGTTTTTCCTTGAGTGAAAAAGAGGATAAACATTGGTTAAGATTAATCAGATTTCTTTAATACCTGAAAAAGTCACCACAAGCCAGTACTTGCTTGACAAGGAGGAGGATCACCTTATACCCACTTCATTTTCATGTATGAGGGGACCCTTCAACAAGTCAATCTGTGGCTTGCATACAGATAATCTTCCTATGTGAGAAAATTGCATATTTTTTAAACTATGAATAATTTCTCTGAAAGCTTACTTTCCTACTCTTTATCATCTAGGAGAATAGCCTTCTTGAAATATTTTAATTTAATTAAATATGAAGATTTCCTCAAATATCAAAGATTGCAAGCAAATTATTTTAAATCCTCCAGTTAATGATTTATCTGTTTATTTAAGACGAAACCTTGAGTGGCCTCGGTACCATGGGCTCAGCCGGTGCCAGGAATGGGTTTGGTGGTTTTGATGAGTTATATTATAAACATTTTGTTGTTGGTCATCCGTGCCATCAATATTTTACCCAATGATAACCTGCCTTTCACCGGTATAAATGTTCTTTTACAAATATTTCATGCCAATGAAAGGTTTCATGTAACAGTTTTTTTTGGCCTCAAGTTCGGTTCACTTGCCGAATTTCTGGAAAATAGGTACATGATTACAATGTGTATGCAAAATTTTCCATTACAGTTCATTGGGTGAAATGGTGATGAAAGACCACATAACGTATTAGATGTTTAGGGGCAAATACATTCATGTGTAATATATTTCCCTATCTGTAGACAATCCTAATATAGATGTAAAAGCTATGTATTAAGTGTGCCAAAATGTTTAGTTGTCAGTTAATAATGTTACAATGTGCCGATTATCTTGTATACACCCTCGCTTTTTAGTCAGAGTTCACTGTACTTTACGTCACAAGTTCTCGGCGCCCAAGTGTATGTTCCATGTGGCAATATAATGACTATTTGTCTGTTTCATGTAGTATATGTTCTAGACTACAATAATGATTTTAATATTACTCCAATCGTTACCTCAAGATACTGGCAACAGGCTTGTGGTTGATCCATAACAGTAACTAAGGATTGTTGGCAGGATTTTTTCCAATTTTTGGGTATGACCGAAGTGGTTTAAGGTTAGGAGATTTGTGAATATACAAGTTCACGGCCTTCTTCCCCATGCGCTTATAATACAAGTTCAAAGGCCTGAATTTTTAAATATCACTTAGTTAATATAAGACAATGGTACTGGCATTGTTTTAATCCTTTTAATTGCAAAATATTTGCATTATCTGTGTGGGCAGTTGCTCGTGTACTGATTTTGATGCAAGCACTTAAACTTGGTAATGTTTAAGAATTGGGGCCAAAGTCTTCAGCTCATCCTGCTCATGGAGACTCTTCTGCTTCCTGGGAGTTGAGCTTGGGTTGGTTTTCTGAGCTAAGACAAGTGAACTATTCTAGTTTTCTTCAGGATTTTATGAAAGTTAACAGGGTTGACGCTTGACAGATGGAACTGTGGCACTCTGCACATAATGGACAAACATTCAACTGTATTGTCAAGTTTTGTATAGTATAGTGACTGATATTTGTTGCACTGAGAAGGTTATGCAAGATCATAATATATAATGCAAGGACCATCACAACAATACCACTGGAAATTAATAGACTCTCAATTTTGTCTTGAATGCCGTTGGTCATGGAAGAATTACTCTCCAGTCCTGCATTCTCTTAGGCTGTGCCAGGACCATGCTATATGCATTGACTGTCCTGTTTGTGTTTGATTGCCAAAGCAATCTGCTGGTGACAATATATCCAGCTAAACCAAAGGACATTGGACAGTGATGCTTAAAGACTTCCAACCCTTATGTGGGACATCAAGAAGCACAAAAAGATGTCGAACAGTGGTTGGTAGTCCAAATTATAATTGCCCTATATATGTGGGTTATCGAACTCAGTGAATGCATGGATAAAAAGGAATGCCTGTTTATAAAAAAAGTGCATTAGAATACGACATCATAGTGGATGAATGGCAAAAACTTTGAGTAAAGAGTATAAGAAAGGTTGAGCTAGACTCCGTTGTACATCAGTGTTGTCGAGTCATGTTGTCCCCCGTACATACAAGTACAATATTCAACCATTTCGTGCTACGGCCTGTTTTATTATCCTCCATGTAATTGATTTCATTACATCATGTTCAAACACCTAAATTTGTAATAAACTTATCACTATTGAGATTCTTAATTTAAAAAATCTGATTACCAATGTACAGTATTTCTCTAAGATTTAACAGTTTTTTATTGTACTGTACTATACTGTATATAGCTGACCTCTGCAAAATGTTCTTCGAACACCAGTGTGATATTCCTAACTAATTTCATTTGTAATTTATATATTATATATATATCCATATCCATATCTATATATCCGGCCAAGCGTTGCTGTGGCTCAGCAACACATTTATTTTATTTATTTATTCATTTATTTATTTATTTATATATATATACAAGAAGGTACATTGGGTTTGTGAGAATACATTGGATAGTACAGTATTTACATTCTTGTAAAGCCACTAGTACGCGCAGCGTTTTGGACAGGTCCTTAATCTAGCAGATAATTTTAAGTAGGTAATTTCAAACAGAATTGATAAATGATAAAGATACATTACAAGAGAAAAATGAGATGAGAGAGATAAGTAAGTATATTAAAGCACATTGTTATATTAAAGCTCTGATTGATTACATTGACAGCTTGATTAGTAATTTAAACAAGATTAATAGACACCATACAGCAGATTGACAGCACATATAAGACAGCAATGATCACAATGGTAAAGATGTTCAGAATGGGTACATAAAGATTGGGAGACTGGGTAGCAAAAGATACAGATAAACAAGATTTATAAACACCATACAACAGATTGGCAGCACATATAAGAAGACAGCAATGATCACAATGGTAAAGATGTTCAAATTGGGAACATAAAGGTTGGAAGATTGGGTAGCAATTGATACAGTGCAATTTTAAGGCAAAAAGTGAAAAACTATGAAGATGAAATTAGGTACTTTTTAGCATTGATTTTGAATGATGTAAAAGTTGGACAGCTTTTCAATTCAGTAGGGAGTGAGTTCCATAAACTGGGTCCCTTTATTTGCATAGAGTGTTTACACAGATTAAGTTTAACTCTGGGGATATCAAAGAGATATTTATTTCTGGTGTGGTGATAATGGGTCCTATTACATCTGTCCAGGAAGAGTTTCAGACAAGGATTTGCATTTAAGAACAGGGTTTTGTAAATGTAGTTGACACAAGAGAATTTGTGGAGTGAGATTATGTTTAGCATGTTTAGGGAGTTAAACAAGGGGGCTGTGTGTTGTCTGAAAGCAGAATTTGATATTATTCTGATAGCAGATTTTTGCTGGGTGATGATGGACTTGAGGTGGTTTGCAGTGGTTGAACCCCATGCACAGATACCATAGTTGAGATAGGGATAGATTAGTGCATAATATAGAGAGATGAGAGCAGAGTTAGGAACATAATATCTGATTTTGGAGAGTATACCAACTGTTTTAGAGACTTTCTTAGTTATGTGTTGTATGTGGTTACTGAAGTTGAGTCTCTTGTCTAGGAATATGCCAAGAAACTTTCCATCATTTTTATTGCTAATGTTTACATTGTCAATCTGAAGCTGAATTGCATTTGTAGATTTGCTTCCAAATAGGATGTAGTAGGTCTTTTCTATGTTAAGTGTTAGTTTGTTGGTTGACATCCATAAGTGGACTTTTTTTAGTTCATTATTAACAACATCATTTAGTGTATGTGGGTTGGGGTTGGAGTAGATGAGGGTAGTATCATCAGCAAACAAAATAGGTTTCAGAATGTTAGAGACATTAGGCAGATCATTAATGTATATAAGAAATAGAAGAGGTCCCAAGATGCTGCCCTGTGGCACTCCAACGGTTATTGGTAGAATGGGAGAGATTATATTATTGATGGCTACATATTGGTGTCTCACTAAGATAGGATTGGATATAGTCCAGTGCATGGCCTCGGATTCCATAATGATGGAGTTTACATAAGAGGTAATCGTGATTAACAGTATCAAAGGCCTTTCTCAGGTCAATGAAGAGTCCAATTGGAAACTCATTTTTGTCAAGGGCTGAGTAAATTATATCAAGGAGACTAATAATTGCATCGTTGGTACTCTTTTTGAGAGCGGAAGCCAAACTGACAGGGGCTAAGAATGTCGAATTTTACAAGATAGGAGTAGAGCTGTTTGTAGATAATTTTATCAAATATTTTTGATAGTATGGGTAGGTTCGATATTGGTCTATAGTTATACTCAGCAACATGTGCGTTGCTGAGCCACAGCAACCTTCCCCTTTCTCCCAGTCCTCCCCACCATTTTCCCCTCTCCCGTCCTCTCAACCATTCCTCACTCCCCCGTTCCCTTGTCCTCCTAACCATTCCCCACTCCCCCTTGTCCTTCCTTCCATTCCCCCCCGTCCCCTCGTCCTCCCCATCATCCCCCACTCCCCTGTCCCCTTGTACTTCCCACCATTCTCCATTCTTCTGTCCCCACCATCTCCAACTTTCCCGTCCCCTTGTCCTTCCCCCATTACTCCCTCCCCTCGTCCTCCCCACCATCCCCCACTCCCGTCCCCTCGTCATTCCCACCATTCCCCACTCCCTCGCCCAATGCATTCCCAAATGATCTGATGTTCCCATCAGAAAATTGGGAACATCAAATGATCTGATGTTCCCATCACTGAAATATAACAAAAACAGTTAAAAAAGAAAACTAAATGAAAAACAATGAAGAAATAAAAAATAAACTATACTCACGAAATGAACAGTATGGCAAACAACACAGCTCAATTCCAACTCAATGTCACACAAAATAATGAAATCAAAATGAAAATAAATTAAAATATATGAAAATTCAATTTATCAATAAAATCTGAAACATTGAAATGGAATCGTAACATATTTAGTATAGCGTGTGTTGCTCTTATGTGCAACAGATAGTGCTTTTTAAACAAAAAAAATGTTTTTACCTGTCACAGGTCTGGCATCTATATAGTAGGTATATAAAAATGCGCATATTGGAATAGAACGTTGTGTCCAAATTTTAAAGCAGTCGGTGAAGAACTTTCAGAGATTACAACGTGTGTTGCTCTTACATCTAACAGATGGTGGTGTTTAAAAAAAAAAATGTTTTTTCCCATCACAGGCGAGGCATGTATATAGTAGGTATATAAAAATACGTGCCTATTTGAATGCAATGTTGTGTCAAAATCTCAATGAAATAGGTAAAAAGGTTTTGAAGATTTATCTCACATGAAAAACAGTTTTTTTAAAAAAGCCTATTTTTTCCATCATAGACGTGACATCTATATAGTATGTATATAAAAACCCACTTGGATGCGAATGGAATGTTGTGTGAAAATTTCAAAGCAATTGGTGAAAAACTTTTGGAGGTTAGTGATTTTGAACAAACGAACATTTACATTTTTATTTATATATATACTGTATAATATATATATATATATATATATATATATATATATATATATATATATATATATATATATATATATATATATATGTCGTACCTAGTAGCCAAAACGCACTTCTCGGCCTACTATGCAAGGCCCAATTTGCCTAATAAGCCAAGTTTTCCTGAATTAATATATTTCCTCTTAATTTTTTTCTTGTGAAATGATAAAGCTACCCATTTCATTACGTATGAGGTCAATTTTTTTTTATTGGAGTTAAAATTAACGTAGATATATGACCGAACCTAACCAACCCTACCTAACCTAACCTAACCTATCTTTATAGGTTAGGTTAGGTTAGGTAGCCGAAAAAGTTAAGTTAGGTTAGGTTATGTTGTCGAAAAACAATTAATACATGAGAACTTGGCTTATTAGGCAAATTGGGCCTTGCATAGTAGGCATAGAAGTGCGTTCTGGCTACTAGGTACGACATATATATATATATATATATATATATATAATATATATATATGTATATATATATATATGTATATATATATATATGTATATATATATATGTATATATATATATATATGTATATATGTCGTACCTAATAGCCAGAACGCACTTCTCAGCCTACTATTCAAGGCCCGATTTGCCTAATAAGCCAAGTTTTCATGAATTAATGTTTTTTCGTCTACCTAACCTACCTAACCTAACCTAACCTAGCTTTTTTTGGCTACCTAACCTAACCTTACCAATAAATACAGGTTAGGTTAGGTTAGGTAGGGTTGGTTAGGTTCGGTCATATATCTACGTTAATTTTAACTCCAATAAAAAAAATTGACCTCATACATAGAGAAAAGGGTTGCTTTATCATTTCATAAGAAAAAAATTATAGTAAATATATTAATTCAGGAAAACTTGGCTTATTAGGCAAATCGGGCCTTGAATAGTAGGCTGAGAAGTGAGTTCTGGCTACTAGGTACGACATATATATATATATGTATATATATATATATGTATATATATATATATGTATATATATATATGTATATATATATATGTATATATATATGTGTCGTACCTAGTAGCCAGAACGCACTTCTCAGCCTACTATTCAAGGCCCGATTTGCCTAATAAGCCAAGTTTTCATGAATTGTTTTTCGACTACCTAACCTAACTTTTTCGGCTACCTAACCTAACCTAACCTATGAACATAGGTTAGGTTAGGTTAGGTAGGGTTGGTTAGGTTCAGTCATATATCTACGTTAATTTTAACTCCAATAAAAAAAAATTGACCTCATACATAATGAAATGGGTAGCTTTATCATTTCATAAGAAAAACAATTGAGAAAAAATATTATTTCATGAAAACGTGGCTTATTAGGCAAATCGGGCCTTGCATAGTAGGCTGAGAAGTGCGTTCTGGCTACTAGGTACGACATCATATGTATATATATATGTATATATATATATATATATATGTTGTACCTAGTAGCCAGAACACACTTCTCAGCCTACTATGCAAGGCCCGATTTGCCTAATAAGCCAAGTTTTCATGAATTAATTGTTTTTCGACTACCTAACCTAACTTTTTCGGCTACCTAACCTATAAAGATAGGTTAGGTAGGGTTGGTTAGGTTCGGTC